CGTGGCTTGGAAAGGAGTATGCGACAATCCAGACGATCGAATGCTTTTGAGAAATCTAAGTAAATCCCAACCTCCTCTCCAGAGTCAGCTGACTGGGTCCCGCTACGCCATGCTATTAGCAAATTCGATGTGCACGATCTATTCCGACGGAAGCTGAGCTGCTCAGATATAAAGTTAGACCTTTCTGAATAGCCCACCAACGCATCGGCTATGGTAAATTTCATCATCTTGGACAGTATAGGGAGAAGGGAAACTGGGCGGTAGTTTGAAGCCTCGGTTCTACTTCCACCTTTGTGAATAGGTGCTATTATGCCAAGCTTCCACAAGGCAAAACGTGGTTCTGGACTAAGTAGCGCTGGAAGAAGTGAACCAGTGGCTCTGACAGTTGACTTGCTGCTGCTACCAGTGTCTCTGGGCGAATAGTATCGACATCCGGGGAGTTGTGCTTGTACAGTATGGTTAGCTTCCGCAAGACAGCTTCAGTGGAAAATGAGATGTGAGGAAGTCCCAGCGTCGGGGTGATAAAAGCTGGAGGAGCTCCAGATGATAACACCCACTGGAAGGTGTAGGCATAATACTTCATCCGCAGCGCGTTTGATGCTTCCGTTGCCGTTCGTGTTGGACCATCAGCCATCGTGAGTGGAGCAACTACTTGCCTCACCTTCCGTAGACCACGGACGTGCTTATATAGCCGTTTGTGATTGGCGCTGAAGGTTTTTGCCATGTTCTGCTAATGCGCAGCTTTGTCCTCTCTGAGCAGTTGAGTGCAGTGGTTTCGTTGAGCTACGTAGTTATCCCAGCTTTCTGGTGTTGGGGATAATCTATACTCTCGCTACGTTGCGTTGCGTACTGCGAGCAATTTTCGAGTTTTGCTCCTTACGTAACTGTTTCAGATCGGTTGCAAACTTTTATCTCCGAAGCATCCGTAACCAACTGATTGAATTCGTTTACGAACTAGAGCCAGGCGAAATCCGAGGGGTCATTGGAGAGGAACGATCAGGTTGTGGCACTGACGAGGTGGGCTAATCGGTCGTAGAATGTGATGATTCGCGCCCTCGTTGTTTGCATCTCGGTATTCTGCATATTAGATGAAGGTGAAATTAATAACTGATTGAGCACTGCAGCCAAACGGGCAGTTTGCAACCAGCGCATGGGAGATGAGCACTACAGCCAGGACAGGCGTTACGACAGTGTTGCTTCAGTGTGATGTAAATGTGCCATTGGTAAATAAAGACAACAAAATTAATGACTTCATAGCTTTCGCATAGCATCCTTTAAATTTTAGTAGTGTCGTAATAAATTGCTATCAATTGCCAATCCAAGGGCACCTCGTTAGGTCACAAATGATTGTTAGACAATTGCGTTGTTAATGAGGTAGTGGGGTCGTTGTGTTTCGGTGCTTTGCTCCGTTCCGACTGCACAAGCTCACACTATAGATTAATAATGCTTAGAGACCTCACGTCGGTATCCCGAGTAGGTTCGCCTGGGATAGCATAGGTAGGCGACATAGTCGGCCGACTGAGCTGCTCCCTAGACTATTGCGTATTCAAAACTAGTCGATGCATCTAAGAGTGGATTAACAGTCCATCGCTCTCACCTACTGCCGCATTTAATGACAGTTTCATGGAGTTGCGCAACGGAACAGATATAACAGTAGTAGATCATTCTGAACAGCCAAACAAATATCATGCGCTCTCATCAGCCAACAATGCTCCTGATCACTATTGGGGCTTCGAATCCCTAATGAATAGGTCGACGCATAGCACTGCACGTTTCACATACGCTTTGCACCTTCGAAGTGTAGAGTACTGTTGTAGGACTAAGCTGACACTTCATGGGTTCTAGCTATCAGTTACCTTGGTAGGGATAGTGGTCACACCAATAAGGTTAGTTCGAGTATCAACAATTTTTTCAGAGTCTCAATCATTGATGGAGTAGGCAAAATATCGACCTGCTAGGTATAGTGAGAACCTCTGAAATAACGTCAGTGTTACTGTATGGATTAGAAATCTGACCAGTTCGCGTTATCTTCGGTTTTTGATACTTGCGGAATAGTATCCAAATGATAACAAATAATAATAATAATACGCACGTTTCATCTGATCCGCGAAGCTGTCTGTACAAAAGTAACTATACTCTTTCATGGACGATATGCATATGTGAAATATTGGGACATGCGAATCAAGTAATAGCGTTTTGGTGGATGGTTGAGGTGAAAGCCAAGGTTTGGGAACGTAGACGTTTAGATGTTTTTGGATTTCTTGCGAAATAACTCATTGGCGGATTTTTCACACGTGAACATAGTCATTCTGTGGTCGGAACCCGGAGTGGGCAATACTGAGGTCCGTCAGTTGATGTCTGACAAAAAACTCACTGGAATATTTGGTAAATTGGGAACGTTTATGTTGCCCATATGTACCCGCAGACCACCTTCTGCGTGCACTGTTCAGAAAATCGCAGAGCAACCAGTCGATGATGTGGCACAGACATGAAGAAATTCACCGAACGGTTAGATCGTTGATGGGAGTCCCGGGATATGCCAGACCAGTGATTGGAGACACGGTCTGACCTATCGCAGTAGTGGTGTCAGTGACACTCTTGTATCCGATTTCTTACGTTTAGCTGTTAATACACTATCCCGATTAATTCTACTCAGTTCGTAACTCTCCGTTCTTCGTTTTTACTCTGCGTCTTAGTGCTCTACTCGTACTGTCGTTACTTATCATCATCCTGGTAACCAGTTATTGTGACTGGATCAGCCGCAATCCGAATTATTGTTGATTCGCAGAAACTGAACCCACCTCAAGCCCCTATGGTTGAAGTGCTGCCTTCATGAATTTCTGACTGGCGCTTTAATCCAATGGGGGAAACCATAAGTGAAGACTCGGACGGTTGCGTAGCTTCTGTGCTAAAAATCGACGGTATTTATAGACCAAACATATCTCGTTATGTGGGCACTACGGTCGTCCGGTCGTCTGTGCCATGGCTCCAACCGTTTTGATCGTGTTCCAGCGATCGGAGTGACTATGATGCACTATATCTGATTAACTGCTCCTGTCCAGTCACAGATTCCCACCTTGCTGTAACCTCAAGCGTAGGTGTCTACAGAATAAAAAACTGATAGGCGGTGTATGTGGTCCATTTGAACTAACCGAGACTTGTTCCCATACAACACCAAAAAGGCTTAAGTGACGGGGAGAAACTTTCTTTACTCTAGTGTCACAGACAAACACGCAGCCTCACCTCCAGGACGACAAAGTCATCTCGCTGTCCAAGGGGGATGCCTTCAATGATCAGCACGTAAAAGAGTGTGTTTCAATAGCCAAAACGTTCAGTCAGAATAGGCTGAATACTACAATGATCGTCAACCCATAGGGTGATATCAACATGGTAGAAGCTCTATGCCAAAATTTTGAAAACTTCACTTCTCGAAAACATGTATTCAACAGTATTTCGGAAATGAAGCACTGTAAAAATGCCACTAACAAGTTAGGTGATCTCCCTAAAAAGCCAAATGTAAAGGTAACTTGGTACTAAATTTAACACGTGGACAGTTCGCCTATCACAGTCAGTCAAGTGTGGTTAACTTACGCTGATAAATCACAAAGCAAAGATCGCGGCAATTATTGTGTGTCGTTGCAATCTGAACTGGAACCACTGAGTGATTTGGTGCAGTCTTCAGGTCTGTTTATCTCAACAGACACCCTGTACAATGGGGTAGGAGGGGCCAGCAATGGAAGCGGAATATTTCAATGGGGCAAATTTAATTCAGGGTTGGAACGCCTATCGGAAAGTCGATGTTGCTTGAAGCGGTTAATAAGCAAAAGAAGTGATCGATTTAGTTAGACTTACTGTCCAGATATTATTAGAAGGAATATGCACTTTTTTGGACTGTATCAGTCCCCGCATGTGTAGCTGCACGCACATAGTAAAACACGCAACAAGAAAAGTGAGAGGATAGTGGCTTGCACTCATCCATGCGGCACGTGATTGTGGATGTGCACAGTTGGTGGTTGTTATGGACAGCAAACAGAGATGGCGGTGTACGCGGTCTGGAGGAAAAGTGCGCGTTCCACCCCAGTGCAAGTGAACGTGCATTGTCGGAGAGGGATTCGATTGTGTTGTATAGAAGAGGCGGAAAAAGAAACGCAACAATTCATTCCTAATTCGAGATGAGGAGACAGAAAAATGTACCAGGAACGTGGAGGCTGGTGTGCTGAAATGGACCATATGGGCGGAATGTGTTTCAGGAAGAACATTCACTAATCCGCTGTTGAAATCATATCGAGCAGACAGAATCCACGTCAAAAGGGTCAATAAATAACAGATAGTCTGCAAGAAAAATTTGAAAAACGTAAAGTTACTGTGCTGAGGAACTTAACTGTAGACGGAACCGGATTCAGACAGATAGAACATTGCCTACCTTAGAGGAGGAGGCAACGCTATGGTATGGTGTGAATCGATCGGTGGCCGACTAGTTCATGGGTTTGGTTTGCAACCCGCAAGTCCCAGATTCGAACCCGCGTGGGCGCGGATGCCCCAGCGGCGTCCCCAGCCCACACGCGATTGGCGGTGGTTCCGTGTCAACGAAGCGTTAGTACCGGCATACTGCTGGTGCCTTTGGTTTACGCCGCGGTTTCCAACCGATTGCACTGATGAAGGTGGGTGTATAGCCTTTAGGGCACTATCCAGATCTCCACCATCGCGCTCGGCTCTCGAGTTCCTATATTTTATATATCATTACACTCACTCAATCCATCATTCTCCCCATCTCTTACCACCCCCCCCAACTCTCCCCATACCCTTCACCCTCACCCCTTCCCTTCATTCCTCCCTAATACTTCAACCATCCCTTAAATAACCCATCCCCACCCCTTCTTCCCCCTAACCAATAACACCCCCCCTACCCCCTAAATCCATATCCCATCCCCCTCCCAAAATACCCCCTCACACTAAATTCAACAACCCCATACACCAACACCAAACCCTCCCACTCCTAATCAAACAACCCCCCCCCCCCCCCCCCCCCCCCCCCCCCCCCCCCCCCCCCCCCCCCCCCCCCCCCCCCCCCCCCCCCCCCCCCCCCCCCCCCCCCCCCCCCCCCCCCCCCCCCCCCCCCCCCCCCCATTTTTTTTTTTGTCCCCCCCACCCCCTGGGGTGGGGGGGGGGGGGGGGGGGCGGGGGGGGTGTGGTGTTGTGTGTGTGTGTGGACCCCCCCACCCCCCCCCCCCCCCCCCGCCCCACCCCCCCCCCTTGAGCTAACATGAACGCGTAACTAGCTGAATCGATGGTTACCGGATGTCGAGTATAGTAAGTAACGGACAAGATTAGAGCACTTAAACTGATGGTCGGGCAAACTGGACATGGCATTCGCATAGTGAGCTTGACTCGTGGGTTGATTGCCACGAAGGTAAAGATAAGGCATTGTATCACTGGCGGCCAGACGGCGCAAACCAATGCTTATGCACTATGAAAGCGATGCCAGATTGAAGTTAAAGTTCAACTCTGGTGAGCAAATATAATCCAAGAGTCCGGTTGCATTGGATCACATCGCTATCAGCATAAGAACTAGCAAAGACGGGAAAATATGAGAGGTAGAGAATGAACAAAGGCAGAGCAATTAAGTAAATAAGTGGCATATTTTTCCGCGTCGGCCAGTAGCCTAGAGGCAACGAGCTTGTCGCGTAATGTTGAGGCGCGGGTTCGATTCCGCGTAGGTGTAGGCTTCCTCGCGGTATACTCAGCCCGCGTGCGACTGGTGGCGGTTGCACAGCAGCTAAGCGCCGTTACGGCGTACAGCTGACACACTACATTTTGCCGCGGTGCTACCTACAGTCCAACCAGGTGGTCTGATCAACTTGTACAGCGGGATCACAAAAGACGGATGATTGTTCGAATTCTTCAAGGCGGTTTTCAAACGAGTTGTTCTTGGAGTGATCGACCGGTTGAATGTATCAGAAAGACGGAGAAGTTGACAGTAATAATCACTATAGATAAAGCCTTCCAAGTGAAGTAATGCGCTATTGGCAGAACGATCAACCGGAGACTCCCTTCCATACGACGCCGCATGCGGCCATGTGCAGATGTGGCTTAAGAGCATGCCAGCCATCACCGCATTAGTTCACGTTTAAGGCCGTTGTTAAGGAGATACTCAAAGCTTTAGAATACAAGTCTGATTAAGCCGAGCTTGGGAACCATCCAGGAAGCAGGTGCCAACCAGGTTAGAAATGCACTCTTGAATTTGTAACATCTGCAGCGTCAAAAAGGGCATCATTAGTAAGCCGGTACGCAGTACCGACGATTCGCTGCCGCGCGACCACTAATGGTCACAGGTGGGCTAAGGATACTGCGAGGGTCGCCCAGTCCCTAGGCAGGCTCGAACCCGCACCTTCAGATTACAAGGCAGGCTTGTAGTCCTTAAGGCAACGAGCCGGCTGTGGCGTCAGAAACGGACTTCTAAACTTGAAGCGTTGTGTGCACAGGGTTTCAGCTAAGGCTGTTTTCCTTATGGAGACTTGACCCCTTGATCGGAGGAACTGAGGTAACTTTAAATAGATCATAAGCGATGCCGATGGTGCACTAGTTGTGGAGGATGATACCCGCGTGTCCGCAGCGATGATACACGCTAGTAAATACTACGCGAGGTAACAAACGGCATCTAACAAATTCCGCTGGTGTGGACGAATGCTACTTGCGCCTGATCATCACCAGGAGTGGGATGGTGTAAGTCTCGACGGAGGAGAGGTTGACATGGCCATGGGAAGCTATGTCACCGATGCCTAAACTGGGTACTGCTGATCCGTCTCGCCCGCCAAACTGGAGCTTGATGAGACCCGCCGTATGCGTGGTTAGATAAGGCACAGGATACGGTTGTTCGCCTGCATTCGTGCCGCATTTACCGTTGTTTACTAGTCGGACTGGCTGTTTTGATTGTGTCTGATGATAGCGCGGGGCAGTGGAAGACACAATGAAGCTGTCCCACCGTTGTCGCCTTATGCTCACAAGAACGCCTGTTATTTGTGAACACGTTAATGGCAATGTGTTAGCCACTTGACTGTGAATGTCTGCGAAAGGTATCAAGATCTTACATTAGACCACTCTTCTCTTTCATCACCGTTCACAGGATTGCTGAACTACCTCATCGTCGTGCCAGCTGGGTGGTTCGGAATTATCTCGTCCTAAATAATGGTTCCGCGACATTAATCCAGGACGTGGTGGATTTTCGCCCAATAAGCGTGTACCCTATAAAAGGCACCAAATGTCTGTTTAGCAACACTGCGATGTAGCGAATTTGATTCGCCACTGCCCTATGCTTCACCGCCTTGTAGCCCCGTAATCCAGCAAGTACATGCTGACATCATGGGAGTATTGCGCCCCTGTAGGGGGTGTCTCGCCAAACAAAACGCGTATGAAGTGAGCAATCGGTCACCGACTCCCAATGGGTATGATTCTCTGAATTCGCTCCGCTGCCTTGCAGTTAGGCTATTTAGCTAAAGGCTCGAGGTGGTGTCCCCTAAAAAAAGTCAGTCAACCGGTCAAGAAAGTGCTTTATGCACCCATAACGCGTGAATAGTCAGACATAACACACAAGCTTTCAGCGATACAGCATGATATACATGCAATTGAAAAGAATGTGGATTATCAAACAGAGAAAAATACAACCACAGCATAATCGGGTTTGGTAATTCTCGGACAACTTTGTACTGTTGAGTAAAAATGGCGCTAGGTATAGGACAACTGACGAACGGTACGCTCGTGTACGGGCACACATAGATGTGTATTTCTGTCTGGTTAACGACGTTGACACATATTCCGACAACACACAATGAAGGGGATGAACTGTCACATAGTGATAAATGTTTTAATGACAAGGAAAAAACACTCTGGAGAGCATTAGGTCCAGTGTGGAAGAACACAAGGCGTGAGGCGTGGAAAGATAACCTCCAGACTTTTGTGAAAATTTCTTATAAATGGTGTGAACAGGATAAATCCTGGCTTAGTATAACACTCAGATACTTTCCCGATGTGGAAGAGTGCAACTTCACACTATCGATGTTGAGTTCCAGGCACTGCTGGAGAAGCTGTTGATATCGATCTCTGTTGTGCAATGAAAAAATGACATTATTGTATTTTGACATGTTAAGCGGCTGCTCGCTGGCCTTGGACCAAAACGTGAGATCATTATCATAATCATCATTACACATTAGCTGAAGGTGAAAAATACACAGGCTAACTGTGCCGCAATTCAAGAAGATATGTGAGGACGCAAGATACCAAACATTTCAGAATACACATCATAGAAAGCAAGTAAAATAATGCTAAGTGTAATATCAGCCGTTGTGAGTTACAAATAGAAGAGAAATGCCAATTGAAGCGAAATGGGAGAGGGCCAAGAATTGGGCGGGGGTTGAAAACAGGAGGACAAAAGTGAAGTCGTAACGGGATGATGAGGATTAAAAAAACGCACAACAAGGAGAATGGGAAAACGGGATGGGCTGAGCAGTAGCATCCAGACCCATATCCACCATGCTTGAGGAAGCAGATGGGGCCTCGTCGATTATCCTCTGCGACGATCGAAGCAAAAAGAAATTGTTTGAAGAGAAATGCATCAAATTGTGTGGGCTGGATACTGTCAATTTGCCCAGGCATAGACAGGAGAACGATTAGGGTTCTCAACCAAAGCCTTCAGTTCAAAAAGCTGACCGTAAGGCAGCGGGATATTGGCACTTGGTTATAGAGAGTCCGACTAACGGAGTAAGGGGCCATCGTCACTCCAACTCCCAACCTGGAGGGTTAGGAGAGTGAGTGAGTCTGGTCTCTAACCATTGACCAATCTGGTATGGGTGGCCCTGAAGGTGCAAAAAGCACCACCCAGGATAGCTCAATGGATTGTTGAGGCACACAAACCATCGCACCATCTTAAAGGTCAGTCTCATCGCGACGGGTGAAGTCACTAAGGATACCTTGTAATTTGACTGATCGGCGCCAATGGCAATGTCATCTGCGTAGTTCAGCAGGGTTGCCTCCTCAGGGAGATTGCTATTGTGTTGACATAATTGGAAAATAGAAATGGTGGCACGATAGCTCCCTGAAGAACATCAGTTTGTGATTAGGGACGAGAAGTTTCTGCCTCCAAATCGGGTAACTTGAGTACGACTGGTAGAGTAATCCGTCGACACAAGGACGATAGATGGATGCATTCCAGCACCGAGTAGATCCATTGTTGCGGGAACATCAAGCGATTGTACAAAGATATGCAACCGCGGCACAGACTTCAGTATTCGCATGCGAAATCAAACATCTACGCCGTGTGTCACTCGCGATGTGCAGAGGACTTCAAAACCACGACGCCGTCAAGTCAAGATAAGCTTTATACACCCGTGATGGAAAGATTTGCAGCAAGGTACACCAAAACTACGGACATACTACAACATAAAATCAGTGAGAAAATGATGTGAATTAACATGAATAACAAAAAGACTACATTTTTAAGCAAGGAAACGTTCGCGCAATTGTTGCATTATCACTCTTGGGTCGACCAACAAGCGAGTCAGATAAGACAAGGTGGAGTTGCGATACGCAAAGGCATGGGAAAAGAAAACTTTAAAATTCGACCGCGTGGAAGAAATATATGCCGTATTTGCTAAAACAGTGTGTAGAGGACGAAAAGGGTCTTTTAGAATCTTGGATGAGAAGTTAAATCATGCGTCAAAATGCTTGCTGACCACAAAATCAACGAGGGTTTCTCTGCTTAATCCAGAGAATCGGGAAATAAGTTTCCCTGATCGCACAAGTAGAGTATAATCTCTTTGAAGTAGTCCGGAGAAAATAACAGGGGAACAGTACAGCCAATAGAGAGAATACATGCCTTTGCGAAGCTTAGAATTAGGGCACGCGATACGGAGGACATTTTAAGCCTAAGAGAGTAAACGGATAGTGTTCTGACTTTTTGAAAAGCCTCAAGAATACGCCCTGACTAGGATAAATTATAGGAAAAGAAAGCACAGAAATACTTTACGGAACATGAACGAGCGATGCTTTGGGCACTCGCAATCAAAGGAGGCGATTAAAAAAGAGCGCAGTCTGTCGGGGCGGAGAAAAGTGAATATCACAACATATATAAGGGTCAAGGGAGGGGGAACGTGAGCTTGA